TTTGGTGTTTGTGGATGTGTTCGGCATCATGAATGCATACGCAGTTGGAGATAACAGTGCATCCCGGAAATGTTTATGAGAGTTTTTCGAGTGTGATGAATGTGCGTTTATTCATATCTGGTACATTTAGAATGGATGTTTTTATGTTAACCATGGATGTTTGAAGGATGTTATCGGGCTGGAGGATGTAGTTATGTTTCAAGTATTATTTCCTATGTGATGCACCCTGTGATCACACGTATTGCCCCTTAGTATGAAAGCTATAAACGTGGAAATAGAAGCATCAAAGTTTGGTAGCTTCAAGGATTAATGGATATGTCTGAAGGGTTAATCTAATGGCTTGTAAATACCACTTCGGCTTACACCGATGTTAGATCGCGAGAACGGGATGAGTAACTAACACTGAAGGATGAAATAAGTGTCTCACGGCTCAGTTTCAATTCTCATGACAGTGCCGAAGCGTTTCGACGTTCCTTCAATGTGTCCTCAGGAACAATGGAACTCTTGTGGGCCGCATCGTGAGAGAGACCAGTAATTGGCCTATGGGAACCTTGATGAGCCTGACAGGCTTCCTAAGCCCGACTGTGAGGAAGCTTAACCATATCTTAAAGTTTGAATTGTAAAGATTGACAAATAGTTAAGCTTAACCATATCTTAAGTGAGGGCTGGTAAAGCTTGATAAGGAAATACTTCACAAATGTGTTCCAGTCGTTTACTGTAATGGTGATACACAATCATGAAATTGTCAAAGACGCAGTAACAGCTGGATATAAAACTTTTTTCATATATAATAAATATATCCTGACTTTTAAAACATAGCACAACCATTGTATGGTGAATATGTTCATCTGATGGTGATAATGTACATACATATTCATCTTTGAATTTTGAATAGCATAAACACATATACTAAATTTTAGCTATTTTGAGCTCTAAATACATATGTATATGTATTTTTCATCACATAACAATGTGGTGAAAATTTCATTTATATATATATATAACTTTTTTCATTACTTTTAATTTATATACCCGTTAATCTTCGTTCCGCTGTTATTAACATTGTACTGCCGTTGGCTGTTATATTTTTACTGTCAAAATCCTGAAGTTTTTAGGGGGTCAATGTGAATGTGTTTGGGGTCATGTGAGTTGGTGTGTTTGGGGGACAGTATAAGTGGGTTCTTGGGGGGAGTCAGTGTGAGGGGACGTGTTTGGGACAGTGTAAGAGGAAATATTTCAGGTTATTGTGAAAGGATTTATTTTGAATCAATGTATGTGTTTAGGGTCAGGGTGAGAGGACTTGTTTGAGGTCATTGAAAGACGACTTGTTTGGGGTCAGTGAAAGATGACTTTTTTGGGGTCAGTGTAGTCATTTACCAATCAGTTCCTTGTGATTGTGATTGATGTTATGGCAGGAACAACTGGTTTCTTCCATAACAGATACACAATACAGCCACATGTCGTGTTCCGGAAGGTAAAACATTATTTACTAGAAAAAAAGTTTAATAGAATCATCCATTTAGACTGGTAGTAGAGCGATGGCATCACTTATTGCTAAGTCAGCTTTCCATCCCCAATGGTCTAAGCGATTGGGGATGATTCTTTATCTGTGTCCCCCATACCCTAGCTAAGTTCTGAATGTTTACACAGACGATAATTTATTTGCCCAAATCATTAACATATATTCCCATAGTCATGGCTACGTTTCATTTCATGTTGTAACTAGTGCCGCATCCTGGAAACCCTGTCCCGTGTCACCCATTGATTTGATGTATCAGGGAGCAATGAATAAAATAATTATCACGAGGGAGACAAAGGGATTATGGTGTGATGGAGCCAATAACGTCAGCCTTTGTCTCCAGTGAGCTCCTGCAATTAGCAGCACGAATAATATGGGCATGTTCACTAACGCACTGTTGGAAATTATTAATATGTAAGTGAATGTGAGCTTTCCAACCCTTATTATAATTAATAATTCTATTTTCGACATTATTTTATGTATTATAATTATTTGGTATTTTTCTGAGTTATTATTATAACAAATAATAATAATATTATTATTATTGCAGTAAATAAGAATTTTATCATTAGTTGTGTATAACTAATATAGTTATTTTCATTATTTTATTTTTTTATATTTTTACGAAACCAGTGTATGGATACTCTGAAGCTAAATACCTTTTCAATTAGTTTCATTTAGGATATTGTTTAAAAATCCAAAATATTGAGCTGTACTCACCTAGTTGTGTTTGCGGGGGTTGAGCTCTGGCTCTTTGGTCCCGCCTCTCAACCGTCAAGCTGTGTTTGTGTGTGTGTGTGTGTGTGTGTGTGTGTGTGTGTGTGTATGTGTGTGTGTGTGTGTGTGTGTGTGTGTGTGTGTGTGTGTGTGTGTGTGTGTATGTGTGTTCATATCACGAAAAATTTTGCATGCATGTAATAGTGTGAATGACCACGAACTGAAATACAACATACACTTCAGCATTCTCGTTTCTGTCACCCCATTTTCTGAGGTAATGACATCAACAACAATGCTCACAGACCGAGCAATAGGCAGCACATCGAGAACCCCCAATATTAGTCAAAAGGTTGACGAAAGCAATAGGGGGCGAGGAAGGAGGAGAGGCAGCAGATAGAGGAACACAATAGGGGTGGAAAGAAGGTACTGGATCACACTACGAGGCACCAAATCGCAGGAGGTAACTGAGGGCAGCGAACTAAGGTATACAGTGGAGGCAGCCGCTCAAGAGGTAAAGCCAAGCAGGTAGAAGCATGAAATATGTTCCCCCTTTCCCCCTCTCAGAAGCTTGTTAATGAAGCCTGGAGCCGGAGCCGCTAATACGAGGCGCTGCTACCTGGATTTACTGCTCGGCCAATCACCGAGCCTGATAATAGCAAAGGAAAGGTAATGGGGAAGAGTGGTGGGAGAGAATGTAATGGTGGAGAGATATGTTAATGGCAATGGCGGAAGAAATTGTGAGAAATGGGGAAAGTGAAGGATGATGAAAGATAGAGGGTAATTGAGTGGGTGGAATAATTACTGGGCAATGGGGAGAGAAAGAGAGAGAGAGAGAGAGAGAGAGAGAGAGAGAGAGAGAGAGAGAGAGAGAGAGAGAGAGAGAGAGAGAGAGAGAGCAGTGGGGATGGTTGGGGAGAGGAAAAACCGGTTAAGGCAAAATAGAAAGGGAAATTGACTGCTAAATGGTACGAGAGGAAATTGCCTGATTTTGAGCACCCAAAAAGAGAAGAAATAGAGACTTATGATGATGATAATTAAGACATATAAAGGAAGCACAAAAGAGGGGAAAATAAATCCTGGTGAGCACACGTCCTTGACATAAATTAAATACAATATAGGAGGAGAGTAAGCAAAGAAAGTATATGAAAGTAAGCAAGGAAAGTATAGGAAGGCAAGCAAGACAAAGAATGTTAAGGTACACCTGAGGAGATTTCAGTAAAGGAGGAAGCGCGAGTATAAATTTCTTTCAATTTGATTGCGAAAGGGAAGGAAATGGTTCTCTGCACGCAAAGACCTGAGGATCAGAGTAATTTTGTTTTCACTCTGCGTTGTAGTGTTCAACATAGTTTATTATTGAATCTACTATTCAATATTAAATGTAATTTGGCGTATGATCTCGACAACCCGCCAGAGCTGTCATGGCTCTTGGTCCCCTCGTACCCAGCCATCGAGGTCGACCTCAACACCTATCTTGGCCTCACAGGCATTCTCAATTGAACTCTGTTCCAACCCATTCCATTTATAGACTCTAACTCAGAGGTTCTTTCTGACGTCTCTATGTTTGTTCTTGTTTGAGAAACATATTAAATTGTTTCTCTGATTTTTATATATCCTCCCTCGTTCTGCTGATCCTATCATTGAAACATTAATTTTATCCACTTTTCGAACTCTCCTTAGAACTGAGCATGTTGCTGTCGTGTCCTAGCTAGTTCTCCCTGCTAGTTCTCCAATGTATTGTGGTTCAGTATTCTCAGATTTTCCTTGTATGTCAGGCCCCTCAGCTCTGGAACCAACCGTATTCCATCTTTGTACCTTTTCTAGTCTTTTTCGGTGGGTGGGGGGGGGGGGGGATATAATTCCATTCCGAGGAGGCATACTCAGGAGAGTGGGGTCTCACATATGCGGCATAATGGTTCCAGCAGGCTACTCCGTCCAAATTATGAAGATATATGTGTATTGGGAGACGAGGTTGTTAGTATGAGTATGTTAATAACTGCACCATCACCACAACATCACCACAACCACAGTAACATTACCCCCACAGCAGTGTTACCACCACCACAACAACAGCAACACCAAAGGAACATCACCATCACCACCACAACAACATCACCATCACCACAACAACAACATCCCCATCACAACAAAAGCACTATTACAACAAACAAACTAGCCCTGGCGACACCAGGCTCGCCAGACTGTGGGTTACTACCAACTACCAACTACCAACTACTACCAACACCCATCGTCGGCATTAGCAGTCAATGAGCATCATCAGCAAATAGCTACAGCATATGGTAAGGCTGGCTCCTACCCTGGCTTTGCGCCCTGGTGAGGCCACTCCAGACCCGGCCGACACCAGGGCGCAACTCCATAGTCTCCTGAGACTGATGGATGCCTACTACTCCTATGGTGAGAGGAGTGGAGTACTTACAGCGTATGGTGAGAGGTGTGGAGTACTTACAGCGTATGGTGAGAGGTATGGAGTACTTACAGCGTATGGTGAGAGGTATGGAGTACTTACAGCGTATGGTGAGAGGTGTGGAGTACTTACAGCGTATGGTGAGAGGTATGGAGTACTTACAGCGTATGGTGAGAGGTATGAAGTACTTACAGCGTATGGTGAGAGGTGTGGAGTACTTACAGCGTATGGTGAGAGGTGTGGAGTACTTACAGCGCATGGTGAGAGGTGTGGAGTACTTACAGCGTATGGTGAGAGGTGTGGAGTACTTACAGCGTATGGTGAGAGGTGTGGAGTACTTACAGCGTATGGTGAGAGGAGTAGAGTCCTCCAACATGGAGTGGGGTATCTCAGGGTTGGATGCTCGACACGTAATGTGTTTACCATCGTCCTGTCTCGTGGGCATCAACACGATCGACCCCATGGTGACGTTTCCCCCATTCATCACCTGAAGAAGACCAAATGAGCACAATTTTGTTTGACAATTTGTGCAACTGGCAAAGAGAGATGATGAGCATAGAGACAAAAGAGACCACATAATATGGCTGATATACCCCAAAACATATAATGCAATATACTACTACAGGAGGGGGAAAAATAGACTCTCAACTGTGATTAAATGAATGCTGGGCTCACCGTGTATTGGACGTCTGTGATCTGCTGTGATCCTCTCCACCATGTGATTTGGGCAGGTGGGCGTGACCCCACAGCCCTGCACACCAGTTCTACAGGGCGGCCAGCAGACAGGGACCCCACGCCGCCCACGATCTCCACCGACAATGGGCGTACTGTGGAAGAGAATTGGAAAATACAAAGATTTTTGCTTGAAGGGGGAGGAGAGCACTGATCGTATTAGCTGGTGGGAATTATGTGGAAAATATGTATGTGACGAGGTAATGTGTTGAGTTTAACTTTTTTTTACATGATAATGGGAAAGGGAAGAACAGTTTTTTTTGTTTTACTGTACCACTGCTGAATGTGTGTGTGTGTGTGTGTGTGTGTGTGTGTGTGTGTGTGTGTGTGTGTGTGTGTGTGTGTGTGTGTGTGTGTGTGTGTGTGTGTGTGTGTGTGTGCGTGTGTGTGTGTGTGTGTGTGTGTGTGTGTGTGTGTGTGTGTGTGTGTGTGTGTGTGCATTTTTTTAATGTGCGCATGACAACGTTCATGTATTACGGAATTTATGTTTTCTCTCTAACGACAAATGGTTTAAGGTGGTGTAGCATCTTTCCTAATGAATAACGAACCTCATAGAAGAAAGTTATTGAAATATGCTATATAAATATGCTATGCTATATATATATATTGTATATAAAACTACAAAGAACCCAATTACCTGCTGACCATAAACTGCAAAAATATTATTCGTTGTAATTAAAATTTGATGTGAACAGGAAATACATTAAAATTTTATGCGGGGGATGACACGCGGGCTCTAACATTGGCACTCTGCCGTTACCTAATGAATCCAATAAAATCATATTACCGTCAGTTCTGTCACTAGCGGCCTGTTTTGCATACCTGTAATCACACCGAACCTTATTTTCCCCGTCTAACTGTCGTTTATAGCGATGGTTTTAACCTTTTAACAAAGGAATTGTTTTTTGTGCGTTCTGTGTTATTGCTCGTGATATTTCTCTGAATTAAGAATGAATGAATGTTTCTCAAGAGCAGCGGAAATCTTGGCTGTCAGGAAGCTTCACAATGTATAAGGAAAAGTTCATTCACGCAAAAATGTACAAGAACATACAAATTCCTGCCAAGCTAGACACTCATACGAAAGGGTTATTCAAAAAGTTAGCAAAAACAATATATAATTAACTGACACTCTGTATGTTAAATTTTTGCAGTAGTCTCTCCTCTCCTAGGAAGCTGGTCTTCTGACAGACTCTTCTGAAAGGTCGACCCAACCACTTGGGCTGGACGGTAGAGCGACGGTCTCGCTTCAAGCAGGTCGGCGTTCAACCCCCCGACCGTCCAAGTGGTTGGGTACCATTCCTTTCCCCCCCGTCAAATCCCAAATCCTTATCCTGACCCCTTCCCAGTGCTATATACACGTAATGACTTGGCGCTTTTCCCTGATAATTCCCCTCTCTTCTGAAAGGTCGAAAAATTCTCCCGTTTGATCCCGAAGCAAATCTTGGAAAATGACGTTGATTAAAAATTAAATCGACGTTGAACATTTTGATCCAATGTCAATCAATGAATCAAAGATAAAATCTTTAATCCATCGTTTATTATGCAATGAAATATCGTTATAAACTTTGTTCCATCGTTGATTAAACAATGAATGAACGCTAAAAACTTTTATCCAACATTCATTAATAGTTATTTTAAGCACCTTTTTGACTATTGGGTTTTTGCAGTGCTTGGGTCCCGTCTCTGACTCGGAGTCCCATTATTAGTATTAACATTTCATTGACAAAATTTAATTACAATTTTGCCCAATCTGAGGAATTCAATTAGGTCATATTAGAGTGAGGATAATGTTAGTATTCGCTGTCACACAGAACAGAAGATCATACACCAGACAATAGGTCTAAACTGTAGGCTGAAGCACATATATATCATGGTTACAATCAATGTTTCAATGTACGAATATGTAAATAGAACTTTCTATTGTGCATTGCCACACAAGGGCAGGGATGGATTTGTAAGAGATACAGCATAAAAAATAATATAAATAAAATTGTTCTTCATTATATAAATAGATAAGCAAATTTTGGATAAATTGTTAGGATGTCGTCCAGTACGCTAGATTCAATGAAGTCCCAGTGATAACTCCAGCGTTGATCAACCTCTTACGATGCCACTTACGACACGAATGTAAGTGTCGTACCGATCATAGCAACTTAGTCAGTATTAATCACTAATCAGTTTACGAGCTACGAAACGTCACATCCTATGGTTATTATTATTAAAGGCACCCTCGTAGGGCCCAAGAGCTGATAAACTGTTTATTAAATGCAAGCTTAGCTACTGTGATTGAGGAATGATATACAAGTTTCGTAAAGGGACACATAATAGCTCTATGGATCTTTATCCAAGTATCATATTACTCCTCCACGCTGTATGGAAAGTTAGATAAATCGGTTTTATACATTTCCATAAATTACGAGGTAATCCTTTTTGAGTTAATCCTGAGCGATGTGGTTTAGGAAAATCTATCCAGGGAAGCTTTAGATACCTCGAAATGCTTATAAATAATGCAGGCGATGAGTCACAATAACGTGGTTAAAGTATGTTAACCAGACCACACACTAGAAGATGAAGGGACGACGACGTTTCGGTCCGTCCTGGACCATTCTTAAGTCACAATCGACTTGAGAATGGTCCAGGACGGACCGAAATGTCGTCGCCCCTTCACCTTCTAGTGTGTGGTCTGGTCAACTTATAAATAATGTCCACAATAGACCCACGTGAAATACAAACCTCAGTGACTATCCTGTCGTCTTTCATTCGAAATGCTGGTCACAATTAGGTTTTCTCTCATGAGATTTGACGCTCGTTCTAACCGGATTTACAATTGTAGACTCTTGCAACTACACCTAAACATCTTGGCTCTGCATGCTAAGGTCGCAATTGATGGATCATCTTGACCTTGCACGCCAAACATTCTTTGAGGAATTTCTCTTCGATTTTTATTAGAAATTTTATGACACTTCGATGCATACAATTTACCATAGTTTATAGTTTTCTCATACTTCATATTTTAAAGTCGCACTCAGAAACAATTAAAATATGTATATATATATATATATATATATATATATATATATATATATATATATATATATATATATGAACCTCTATGTAGAGAGAGTAAGGAGATAACACCACCCAAAGATAGAAAAGCTCATTAGCTCTTTCTTGCCTCTTCTTCGTTTTACTTCCCTTTTCCTCACCACTTCCCTGTCTCATCTTTTCCTGCTCTCATCCTTCCTTCACAGCCTCCACCTCCTTCCTTCTTCCGTATCCTCCTCAAACCTTGGAGAAGTGGCAACCATTGTGTTCTGGATTATCTAAGTTAATCTCTTCTCGTCCATTACCCAGGAGACAGATGCTGGCGGTTATTGTAGTGGGCTTTTGTTGCCATGATGAAGCTGCCGATGTTGATTGTTTCTGGCCCTACCCAGTTCTATAGTGATGGTTCTTGATTGTTTCCAGCGCTGCTTGGCTCTACCAACGAATGTTTCTGATTGTTTCAGGCATTGCCTGGCTCAAAATACAATGCTTTCTGCTTGTTTCCGCCCTTCCTGGTTCCTACGCGATCTGTCTGATTGTCTTAGATCCTGAGTGGATCTGTACGTAATGCTTTCGGATTGTTTCCGACGAACACACAGATACATGCCTGACCACTTCAGAAATATGTGGTTCCTGAGAAGATGCAAGGGAGACATGATCCTAACCCACAAAATTATTCATGGAATTAATAGGGCCCACAATTACACACAGTTTAGCACTGGTAATACATAAGCAAGATAACACAAACGGTAACACAGTACCCAAATGAGCAATCATATAAATTGAAAATAAAATAGCGAAGATATGGAATAAGCTGACAAGTGATGTGATATAGAGTCCATAAACAGCTTCACATGTTCATATAATCATGGTTATTTAAAGTGTATATAAACAGTTCAGGAATACACACAGACTCGCCTCTCCCCCTAGTTCACACACCCACACTCTTCTTCCTCCTTGACGTGTCTACATCCACCTACAGTTAATAACTTATAGACCTTGACCTTCAAAACATATTTGTTCTCTGGGAAGAAGCACATTTGCTATCACATTCAGGTACGCGGATTTGTTTTGGATGACTTTTCACCTATAGTATGAATTTATATTGCTATGTTCGATACCACACACACACACACACACGCACGTACACACACACACACACACACACACACACACACACGCGCACACACACACACACACACACACACACACACACACACACACACACACACACACACACACACACACACACACACACAGAAGAGCTTCCACGTCGCTGGAAGACAGAAGAGCTCGGTGAGACATGAACACCATATACAGAATCCTCAGGGGAATTGACAGGGTAGACAAGGAGGGATTATTTAACACGGGTGATACACGCACAAGGGGACACAGGAGGAAGCCGGGTACCCAAATGAGCCACAGAGACTCAAATGAAGATTTCAAATTCAAATTCAGATGTAGATATGATAGAGCTCGAGAATCTCAGGAATATGTACATCATATTCCTTTAATGTACATCATCTGTACGTACTAATATATGCACATCATCTTTCAACCATCAGATTGACGGTTGAAAGTTGGGACCGAAGAGCCGAAGCTCAACCCTTGTAAGCACAACTAGGTGAGTAGACACACACATAGAAACAACCCCCCCCCCCCCAAACAAATGAAGCCTAGAGACAGAGAGGAGAATGAGAGTAAAAGGCAGACAGGACACACAAAGTTAGGTTTATTGCAGGACAAAGATAATGGAGAAAGCAGGTGTAAAGGGTAGGGAAGTGGTAGAGGTTTAGAGCGAAGCAGTGTAGGGGTAAACCTCAGCCCCTGTGTGCTCTAGTGTGCTCTATTCCATTAACCCCTCCCCGTGTGACACTTCTCTTATTGTTCCCTCTATTGGGATTTATTCCATTGTGTGTTGTTAAGTGTTATTCTCTCTTCTCTTATTTTCTCTTCTTGATTTCTATCTCTCTCTCTCTCTCTCTCACTCTCTCTCTCTCTCTCTCTCTCTCTCTCTCTCTCTCTCTCTCTCTCTCTCTCTCTCTCTCTC